ATAGGTTAGTCCCAAAAATAATATAAAAGTGGATAATAAAGTCCAATATTGCCTAAAACAGTAGATAAAGTAGCATGCAGCAATCAAAAATTATAGATACATTGGAGATGTATCAACTGGAAGGTTGTCGACGGCCTTATACAGACAGAGTGTGTCAACATGGACGCGAATGTGTTGCAGGCACGTGCCAATATGGACATTAGGCTGCAACAGGAGCGCAAGGACATGGACTACAAGGCTATGGTGGAGCAGGTCATGATGGAAGGAAAGATGCTGGAAGACCGTGCGATGTTTCAATCCCACGTTCAATGCCACAGCAGTCAACCGCAAGAGCATGTCTTCAGTACTCCCCCTGTGAGTACCTCGCAGCGATGCTATTCAGTCACGATCATGACCTATATTGTGTATGAATAGTTTTTTGTGAGTAACTTTGTGTAAGCTATTCATATGTAGTCCAAGAAGCGTTACGCGGCACAATGTCCAAACACTAAAGGACAAGTGATGTCGGTGTCACCCATTGAATGCCACAGTTCTCCACTCGAAGAACATGTCTTCAATTCTCCCCCTGTAAGTACCTCGCACCCATGGTAAACATTCACATCCAACATTTTGTATGACCATATTTAATTAGTGTGTAACTCTATGTCGGTGATTCATACGTAGGCTAAGCATCCAGTGACGGAACAATCCCGAATCCTTGTAGATGAAGATTACATCCCATATAATAATGAGGTAACTTTATCGCGATGTTCCTACACACATCCAAAATTATTTATGGAACTTTGGTGATTGCAATGTATTAAATTTGACGTGAGATACTCGTATGTAGGTGCTGGTAATGGAATTTTTCATTCATAGGGATTGTGAGCTTTTGCATGTCCCGATAGGATACTTTGACAAAAGACCCATTGAGATGAGATTGTTTGAACCCGGTGTATTGGACTATGATTTTCTCATGAAAGAAGTGGCTGGATATGGTTATAAAAAGGATTCTGATTTGTACCACTTCTTACCTGAGCATGCGTGCGAACTACCAGAAGGAATGTTCTTGATTTCAGGACCAGGTGATTTTGCAAAGATGATTTCCCGTCTGAACGGCCGCAAGAAATGTCATTTGTATTTGGTGTATAATGGTCCACAGAAAGATGTTTATGAGTGGTGGTCGGACATGGATTCAGAGGTTCCTATTCTTCATGTTACATCAATTTTACGGCTTCATCATACTTAAGTTTGTCCTAATACGTTCGTATGATTTTTGATAGGAAGTGCGCATCCAAGACATGCAACATGAGGAGGCTCTAGCTAGAAATCTTGAGGCAAAGGAACAACCGAACTCCTTAGGTTACATTGATGTACCGTGTAAACATATGGGAGAAGGTGGTTGTTCGCCAATCCTGACACAAACTCCAACGACCAATATGAAGAAGTCACTGGATTTTGGCACCGGAGCCGAGCTTCCGTACGAGGGCTAATGTTATTTGAAATGTTTTAAGCTGGAGACAACATTTTTGGGTTTTTTTATGAATGTTTGCAGTTATGGAACAATTCATTCACGATGGAGGTCTTGTAACAACATTTTTGCTAGAATGTGATTTCCATTTCCGACACGACATGCATGTGTTTATACCCAACTGTACACTCCGTCCGTTCCTAAATATATGTCTTTTAAGATATTGCAGTATGAACTACATACGGATGTATGTAGACGTATTTTCAAGTGTAGATTCACTCATTTTGCTCTGTACGTATTTCATACTGAAATCTCAAAAAAGACTAATATTTACGAACGGAGGGAGTAGTTGTTAGTGAGCAGGCCTTTTGTGGAAAAAAATCTGCAGTCACTTCAGAACATTTATGTACATTCATGCTACATGGTCGTCGATCTGTCCGCACATGTGTTAGCATATTTGTGTGCACAGTAGAAGACCCCACGACAGGTGCTGCAGGATCATGTACAACTGCGGCTGATTTTTTTTTGCTGTAAAACAGTGCAGGAAATAATCCAAACAGACATTTTATGTGGCACAACATGACAAAAGTGTTGGCAAATCATCCTCGGGAGCCGTGGAGTCAGACCTGACGAGATCTGCTTCGGGATCGGTGCGGTGTCAGGGCGCATCGAAGCGCAGGCGGATCCCCGGCAAAGCGCACGACAAAGGGTCATCGCACGTGCGCGCGTCATCACCCGAAGACAGGCCGACCAAATTAGTAGGTGCGGACCCCGCACATGTATGCCTGTCGGGCCCAGTTCGATAATCCCGCGTGATCCGGCTGCTGTGGAGTTCGTTCGTGCATGCGTGATTACCGACGCCATGCATGCACGTAGGTTTCCCCATGTCCGGCATGCCTCCTCCCCCAAAGCCCGACCCATTCAAGAAATTCAGCGCGGGCCAGCCCATGTCGCGCCGATCTCGTGCCAGGATCACGTCTTAATATGTTTAGTCCCACCTCGCCCCCCGAGCAAGTGCTGCACCGGCTTAAATACCTTTATTTATTTGTGTATTACAAGCATGGGTCTTCCTTGCACTCTATTTGGTGGATATGCAGGATTAATATGATTCATCATCCATATTCATCATGTATATTTATCAATTGGAGAGCATGGATGACTGATGTATTTTTTTGGATTTTAAAACGGTAAGAATTAAAAAAGAAAAAATATTTGATTTTAAAATATTGTAAATATATAAAAGAAAAAATATTGGATAAGTGAAATAAAACACAATAAGAAACTTAGCTTTGTTTGTGCAAGAGATCACGTGTGCGAAAATTGAGGTGATTTGGAGGTGGTCAAAAAAATCACTGCATTCCGGAGGGACCATTTGGTCGGCGGTGATTTTTTTCACCACCTCCAAATCACCCAAATTTTCTTTTACACGGTGACCCACATGTGCCAAACATGTCTATGAAAGAAAATTTGGAAAAAAAAAATATTTTACAATGCCCCCTTGAGGTATAGACCGATATTTTGATCAGTCAGTTAGAAGGCAGTGTAAATTCAAAAAACAAAACATATATAAAACCTTCGAAACCTAGCTTTGTTTGTGCAAGAAATCATGTGTGCAAAAATTGAGGTGATTTGGAGGTGGTCGAAAAAATCACCGCATTCCGGAGGGACCATTTGGTCTAACTTAAGCCAGTTTTTGAACGGAGGTGATTTTTTCCACCACCTCCAAATCACCCAAATTTTCTTTTACACGGTAACCCGCATGTGCCAAACATGTCTATGAAAGAAAATTTGGAAAAATATATATTATAATGCCCCCTTAAGGTATAGACCAATGTTTTGATCAGTCAGTCTAGAGGGCAGTATAAATTCAAAAAATTCAGAAAATATAAAACCTTGGAAACCTAGCTTTGTTTGTGCAAGAGATCATGCGTGCGAAAATTGACGTGATTTGGAGGTGGTCGAAAAAATCACCGCATTCCGGAGGGACCATTTGGTCTAACTTAAGCCAGTTTTTGAACGAAGGTGATTTTTTCCACCACCTCCAAATCATCCAAATTTTCTTTTACACGGTTACCCACATGTGCCAAACATGTCTATGAAAGAAAATTTGGAAAAAAATATATTTTACAATGCCCCTTGAGGTATAGAACGATGTTTTGATCAGTCAGTCTAGAGGGCAGTATAAATTCAAAAAATATAAAACCTTGGGAACCTAGCTTTGTTTGTGCAAGAGATCATGTGTGCAAAAATTGAGGTGATTTGGAGGTGGTCGAAAAAATCACCACATTCCAGAGGGACCATTTGGTCTTTTAACTTAAGCCAGTTTTTGAACGACAGTGATTTTTTCCACCACCTCCAAATCACCCAAATTTTCTTTTACACGGTGACCCACATGTGCCAAACATGTCTATGAAAGAAAATTTGGAAAAAAAATATTTTACAATGCCCCCTTGAGGTATAGACCGATGTTTTGATTAGTCGGTCAAGAGGGCAGTATAAATTCAAAAACATTCAAAAAAATATAAAACCTTGGAAACCTAGCTTTGTTTGTGCAAGATACCATTTGGGGAAAAAATTGAAATTTGTTTTCAACTTATTCTGCCCTCTAGACTGACTGATCAAACCTTCGGTCTACACCTTAAGCGGGCATTGTAGGATACATGTTTTTCCAAATTTCTTTCATAGACATGTTTGGAACATCTATTTGAGGTGATTTGGAGGTGGTGGAAAAAATCACTTTTTCTTCAAAAACTGGCTTAAGTGAGACGAAATGGTCCCTCGTGTTTTAGCGTGATTTTTCGACCTTCTCTAAATCACCTATAATTTTACACACTCGATATGTTGCACAAACATAGCGCGGTTTTCAAGGTTTTACATTTTTTCTAATTTTTTGGAATTTATTCTTCCCTGTAGACTGACTGATCAAAACAGCGGTCTACACACCTTAAGGGGGCATTGTAGGATAATTTTTTTCTAAATTTCTTTCATAGACATGTTTGGCTCATCTATTTGAGGATGTAGAACAAATTTGGGGTGATTCGGAGGAGTTGAAAAAAATCACCATTTCTCGTGCCAGGACTTAACATTTCTAGTCCCACCTCGCCCCCCGAGCAAGTCCTGCACCTGCTTAAATACATTCATCTATTTGATTATTACAAGCGTTGGTCTTCCTTGCACTCTACATGGAGGATATGTAGGATGAGTATGATTCATTATATGTATTCATCCTGTATATTCTTCAACTGGAGAGCATATGACTAATGTATTTTTTGGATTTATCGGCTTTTATTTTGTTTTTGGGAGCGAAATATAATTCCTCTAGTACATCTATTTCCAAATTTTATCGTGCAACATAAACAAGCTACACGCTGGCCACGAACAAACCATGATTCTTGAGGTTGCACTTCAAAAACTCACATATAAAATGCAAAAAAAATATCCCAAACTCATACTGTTACAAGGGAGTGGACAACCAAATAGCTGAGTCATACATTATGAGGAAGTCACTAAATGACAGAATGAAGTATTTTAGAGAAAAAGTCACACGATACTAGACATAGACAACAATGCACACACCAACATCAGGTTGATCGTCCACGTACTTGCTCTCCGACCGTGCGCACAATGTTGTAGCTATCATAGTTCTTCTTTGAGATCCTACACATAAGGGTATTTTAATGTCATGGAATATATTTGGACACATGAAAACATTAAATTATGGCATATTAGGTACCTCTAGCAATTTGGCGCACGTACGTCGATTGTGACCATCTGCCTCATGACAATAGCTACATCTACCCTTTGTTCTTGTTTTCTTCATCTTTGCATGTAGCCTTTTCTTTGAAGCACCTCGGGCTGGGACATGCACGGGATCCAGAACCTTTTCAAAACCTTCACCATCAAGGTTAGCCGATTGTGGCATCAACGGACCGTACCTAATGTTGTTACCCTGAGCATTAGTTGATCCCTTGCTATCAGCTTGTTCACTTGTTGATCCCTTGCTATCAGCTTGTTCACTTGTTGATCCCTTGCAAACATCTTGACCTTCCAAAACCCTTTCTAGATGCTTAAACGCCTCATCAGAGTGGCATGCCTTGAAACATGCAGCGTGACTACAATTCCTTAGCTTACGGTACCTTTGTAGGGCTGCAGAGTATGCATACATCTCGCTCTTTCTAGTCGATGTGAATGCACATTTTGCACTCATTGTCCACCTAGTGGGAACACAACATCTGGGCAGTGCTTCTTCTTGTAAAATTCCCAATATGTAAAATATGTGGGAACATGGTGTGCTTGTGCATTCCAATTTGTGGCAAGAACAACTGATACTGCGAAGCAGACCTTCCTTCGACTCCGTGCGCACTTTGATCTTTTTATCCATTATTTCCTTCTTAGACACAACGTATGTGGTAACCTCTACTGCATCAAGTACCTCTCTGATCTCACATTTTTTGACAGCATCTATGCTCCATAAGACCAACTTAAACACAGCAGGAGTGAAAACTTTCACGATGTGTTTCTCAAGAACTGAAGCATTTTCCTCTATGAACGGAACAGACTGCAAGGCCTCGACGTCTTGGAGAGCCTCGTTCAAGCGTCGCGACGCAAGGCAACGCTAATAGTGCTCTAGCATTTGAAAAAACGTCATCTTAGCCTCAAGATGCGTATGTAGCACCGAGTTTAAACTCTCACTCCGCTGATTGCTGCTCAATCCTAGGAAACAACGGCCCTCAAGATATGGAGCACACCATAGTTTTCTCATCTTATACATCTGATGCAGCCAGGAGTCCTCACTTGTTACTTTATTCTGTTGTAAGAAGTGTAACCATTTTCTCTCATGCTCTTCAATGGAAGATATATCATATATGAAAGATCTGAATTCCTCCTTTACCGCGTCATCATGCAGATGGCGTACAATGTTCTACTGAATGTGCCATATACAGAGCCTATGGTTTGAGTCAGGCCACACCATCCTGATTGCTCTCTGCATTGCAAGGTCCCCATCCGTGATCACAGATATAGGATGCTTCTGTCCCAAAGCATCAGAAAAGGTCTGTAACATCCACTCGTATGTCTGGCTTGTTTCATGTGAAATGATACCACATGCATAAATAACGGTGCTGCGGTGGTGATTCAACCCGACAAACGGCACAAATGGCAGATTGTACTTATTGGTTATGTATGTGCTATCAAAAACAATAACATCTCCGAAAGCCTCGTGGTCAAGTCAGGATTGACTATCACACCAAAACAGTTCCTTCAGATGGCCAGCTTCATCAACCAAGTACCTGAAGAAAATATCTGAATCTTGCTCTTGCCTCGCCACCATGTGATTGATCACCATTTGAGCATCCCCGGAAGAAATTGTTTCCTGCTTGTTAGCATGGCAGAAATTGTAAATGTCCCTCATAATGCATCCAACCTCATCATATCCACCATATTGCATGCACATAATGATGAGGATACAGACCTGGGGTTGGGTCATAGGCCTGACCTATACGTTCTACCCAAGGTCACTACCCAAGAAGACAAGAAGTTCAAGACGTAGCATGAGACCCCCAGTCGAAGATGTCGAGTGCAATCCACTCGACATCATGTCACTCGAGAATCTTCCTACCTACTGTCACTCGACCATCCAGAGAATCACTCGACCTCCCGAAGATTAGGAGTCACTCGCATTACAATGGGCAAGCATTCACTCCATAGTCTTTAAGGTCATTAACAGCACTTAAGGCTGGCGTTACCAGTAACGCCACCACTTTATGTACATTAAGTCCCTTGTAATGGAGGGAGGAAAGGGTCCTGGCGAACTCTATATAAGCCACCCTCCTCCTCTGGCACAAGGGTTTGCACCCCCTGTAACATCACACATATAATCCAATCGACCGCCTCCGGACACCGAGGCGTAGGGCTATTACTTCCTCTGAGAAGGGCCTGAACTCGTAAAACTCGTGTGTACATCTTCACCATAGCTGAGATCTTGCCTCTCGATACCTACCCCCTTTTCAACTGTCAGCCTTAGAACCACGACAGTTGGTGCCCACCATGGGGCCGGTGTCTTAGCGACTTGTTGGTGAAGTTGCAAGTTTTTACGATCATCATCATGGTTTCCAGCGGCGGATTGGCTGAGGGCCGCGAGATCCATCTCGGCGCGCTTGTTTTTGTCGCCGACGACTCAGCGCGGCTTCAGGAAGCTCCGCTTGACATTGGGGCGCTCCCCGTCCGAGGGGCGGCGCACTTTCGCACGTGCGTTCGCGGCATCTTTCTCCGGTAGCCATCGACCTAGTATCAGTCGGCTCCGATGGTGTCTTCCCTCCCCGCTGTTCGCCACCGCAAGCGATCCGGTCGATCGTGGCTTCAGCGGTGGGTGAAACACATGGTGGCTCGGCATTCGGCCACCCATCAAATCGCGGCAATCGAGCCCGACGAATCTCTCCACGGCATGTTCGATCTGTCGACTGGCTCCGCGGAGACTACATCCGAGTGCGATAGCAGCGACCCTGCGGCTGAAGTCTTGATAGTCGATGGTCCGCGTGGCCCACCTGGCTTCCGTCGCGAAGACAGCGAAGATGGTGGCGGTGATCCGTTGCGCGTCCATGAGGAATATCATCCCAAACCCCTTTCTTCGCAGTAGAGGGAAGAACTTCGTCGCCGCAACATGGATGCACTCCACACTCCCATCGTTGGAGAAACCCCCGAGGCTAGGGCCTTGGAGGAGGCGCGCTTGGCTAATTTAGCTGAGCGCACTTGACTGGAGAACCTGCAGTGCGCTCTCGACGAGCGGGCTCGGGAGCGGGTCCCTGAGTCCAGTCGACGGCAACTTTTCCCGCCTCCACCTAAGGTATACCGTACTCCGATTCAGAACCTCACAGCTGCGGCCCGAATAGCAGAGTCGATCCAACCTTCCCAGTCAGAGGCTGGCAGAGGGTTGATGTTGATCCGGGCCTTGCTCCAGGCAGCAGGAGAGCAGAACACAGCAGTGTCTTAGTCGTGAAATAGGATTCACAGCAGATCCATAGTAGCGGATACAGTTCAGTCGGCCCATAGCCCAAGATCGCCCCTGCGGCGTGAAGGCCGTGGATAGTATGATCATCAAATCGACCGTGACAATTGTCGTCAAGTACCTATGCCTCCTCCAAGGAGTGCGTCATATGTTCCTCGGCAGAACAATGATAGACGCCGTCACAGTGACGAGCGCAGAGCACCAGTCGACCCAAGGGAGCCAGGCTTTGATGCGAGATCCATTTTTGTTCAAGGCCTGGTCGACCGGAACAGAGCGCATAGAGAAGACCCTGGCAGAGAACGTCCAAGTGGCAGCAGATTGCATGTTTCAGGTCCAGAGTGTTTCAGCAAAGCCATTAGGGCGGCAGTGATTCCTCCCAACTTCAGGTTGGCAACCGGAGTCAGTAAGTTCACTGGAGAATCCAAGCCTGAAACTTGGCTTGAGGATTACCGAGTGGCTGTGCAGATTGGAGGCAGAAATGATGAAATAGCGACGAAGCATCTCCCTCTTATGTTGGATGGGTCGGCCCGAGCGTGGTTGACTCAGTTGACTTCAGGCAGTATACACAGTTGGGAAGAGCTGGCTCGGGTGTTCGTCAGAACTTTTGAGGGCACGTGCAAGCGACCAGTAGGATTGCCCGAGTTGCAGCATTGTGTGTAGAAGCTAAGTGAGACTTTTAGGGAATTCATTCAGAGGTGGACCACTTTGCATCACACCGTTGAGAATGTACCAGAGCATCAAGCAGTGTGTGCCTTCAAGGAAGGCATCAAATACAGAGAGTTGGTCCTGAAATTCGGGCGGACTGGAGATATGACTCTGACTCGAATGATGGATATAGCCACCCGGTACGCTAACGGAGAAGAAGAGGATCGACTCCGTAGCGGGAAGAGTAAGCCAGTCGGCCAAGAGGCCGGTGGAGGCAATTCCAGTCGGAAACAGAAGCGTAAGGCCGAGCCAGCGGCACCCGGTGAGATTGCAGCAGTGGCTCAAGGAAAGTTTAAGGGAAAACCTAAGGGGCGCTGGCCCCCTAAGAAGGTAAAGGATCAAGTAGGAAATGATGTGTTGGATTTGCCATGTCACATCCACACGAAGAAAGATGAAGAAGGTAATCTGATTTACCCTAAGCATACCACTCGGCAATGTCGACTCCTGATCCAGCAGTTCCGAGAAAAATAGCCCAATGAGAAGGAGAAAGAGTCAGACAAAGATGAGGATGAAGAGGAAGACGACGGTTATCCCAAAGTCAATTCCACCCTCATGATTTTTGCAGACATTGAGAGCAAGAGTCGGCTGAAAGTTATCAACAGAGAAGTGAATATGGTTGCTCCGGCGACGACGACCACATACCTAAAATGGTCTCAGACAGCCATCACATTCGACCAGTCTGACCATCCTGCTCGTGTAGCCACCCCCGGGAGGCAAGCACTGGTGGTCGACCCCGTGGTCGGAGGCACTCGACTGACTAAAGTGCTGATGGACGGTGGTAGCGGTCTGAATATCCTTTATGCTGAAACCTTGAAGGGGATGGGCATTCCGATGTCCAAACCACTACTAGGAAAAGGGCTATAGATGAGATGGACACTAATGGCGCACCAGACATGTGGTGCGCCACTACTATATACTAATGGCGCACCATGTTTTGGTGCGCCATTAGTGTCCAAATACTAATGGCGCACCACATCCACGGTGCGCCATTAGTAAAAAAAATTCAAATTTTTTTTCAAATTTTTTTTATTTTTTTCGAAACTAGTAATGGCGCACCAGGGCCATGGTGCGCCACTAGTAATTTTTTTTCAAAAAAAATCATTTTTTTTCAAAACTAGTAATGGCGCACCACTCCCACGGTGTGCCATTACTAACTTGGCCCAAAAATTGCACCAAATGCACCACCCCCCCCCCCTCGTGGATTGCCTTTTCAGTTTTAAAAAAATAAAAGCAAATGATGAAAATGTCAAAAAAATAAAAGAAAATAAGTTTCCCATGTGAGATGTGGTCTAGTTGTTGGGAAAATTTACAAATATGAATTTCGACTTTATTTGCAAAATCTCTCAGGAATTTGTAAAATGGGCATAACTTTTGCATACGAACTCGGATTAAAAGGTTTTCTATATGAAAAATCATCTACTCGAAAAGTTACATCTGAATTTAATGGGGGAACCCCGTTAAACATTTTCAAAATTCTCAAACACCTAACAGAAAAAATTTACGGGGATTTTAAGATCTGGAGGCAAAAAAATTCAAAAAAATTGAAACTTACTAGTGCGCCACTAGTAACAGAAAAAAAATAGTTTCAATTTTTTTTCAGGATTTTTTTTCAAAATATGATACGTAATATGAACGGAAGTTTGAAATGTTTTTTCAAAATTTCATCACACTCA